TGGGGGACCTGGAGCAGGCGCTGCCCTGCGTGCCGGAGACGCCGTCCATCCATGTGGAGGTGCACCAGCGAAGCGGCAGGTGAGTCGGCCTGGCCCGACCCAATGGGACCCGGGTAGGTCCGAGCCGATTCGGCCTCTGCTTGGCCCCGACGGACAACACTAGGCCCAGACCTCGACTGGAGCCCACTGCGCCGGACACGGACCTGACCCATCAGGCCCGGCCCTGAACGGGACCCACGCAGAGCCCAGCCGGGCGCAGCCCAGCCGGGCGCAGCCCAGGAAAGCTGGAAGTTAGGATGGGCCAGATACCCAGGGCTCTCGGTTCCAGGGGAAATATACATATTGCCATTGGAGCCAGCGTTTCTCAGTCTCTTCCGTGCCAGGAGGCGTACTGCAGTGATCGCACGCCTTGGTGTGATCTCAGCACCAGTCAGCGTGGCCCTCAGGTGGCAAGGTGGGCGGAGGGGAGCCTTGAGTGCCAAGCCGGAAGTGTTGGGTTTTCTCAGTGTGAATGCCAGGTCTGGGGCACTTGTTAAAATGCAAACTCCTGACCTGACCCCACAGCGGTGGGCTGTCCTTTCATTTATTGAGTGTGTACTATATGCCAGGCATTGTCCTAAACACTTTGAATGTATTGACTAATCTCCAAAGTAGCTCAGTGTAGCAAAAACTGTTGCTGCTGCCCCCTTCATCTGACGAAGAGCGGAGGCTCCATCTGAGCTGCTCCCCAGGTCCCGCAGCTGGCAGGCAAGGAGTGGCTCCAGTTCCATCCCCAGGCAGGCCCACTCCCTCCTGTATGTACTCTGAACTACTGCACTTTTCATGTATGCCCCAATTTCTGTTTTTGTTGTTAAGCGTTGAAATCTTGGTGCGTGTTTTGTAACTTAGAACTGATCTTTGTGTTTTGTTTAATTTGTCCAGCACGGCAAAAAAAGAAGACATAAAGCTGAGTGTTAGAAAGCTACTTAACAGACATAATATTGTGTTTGGTGACTACACGTGGACTGAGTTTGATGATCCTTTTCTGACCAGAAATGTGCAGTCTGTGTCTATTGTTGACACGGAATTAAAGGTTAAAGACCCACAGGTAAGTTACTAATTCCCTGTGCCAAGAAACAGGTAACCGTTAGCTAAATAGAAAGTTGTTGCCATGACTGTCTGCTTGCTGCTTTGATAGTGTATGTCAGAAACTGGTTTGCTTTGCTTACCTGTTGGGTTGACAGTCGGATAAGTACTGGTTCTCTGGCAGGGGCCAGGTGCTAGGAGCAGATGTGGCCCCACTGCCTGCCTGCTGTCAGAACAGGCGGGGAGAGATCAGAAACCAGGAATTAGAAGGCAGCACCAAGAATAGTGGGCTGTGCTGAGGAGGCCTGTGTGCCTTCTCTCTTATTCTTTCAGGCAACAAAATGTATGGAGTGCTCAGAATGCATTAGGACCATAGGGCATGCCGGGGCAACAGAGATGAGGAGATGGGCTTGTCTTCTTGAATCTCTTCACCTAGTCCAGCGTACAGACTGCCTCACCTGTTCATGTATGGGAGCTAAGAGGAGCTTTGTATGACAGTGTGGATGCACTGGGGCAGTTCTATCACCAGAGTAAAAACAAGCCAAGGTGTGTGCCTCACGTCACTGATACCTGGACAGTTTCTGTCTTATAAAGAATCAATTTGGAAGAATTGATATGATACTAAAATAACTCTTATGTGGTGGACCTCTTCATTCTTATACTAGAGGCCCGCCGCACAAAATTCGTGCAAGGGTCTCGGCCCTTGCAGCCCTGGTCCTGGCAGCCCTGGCTTCATCCGGAAGGACGTCTGGAAGGTTGTTTGGCTGTCCAGTCTAATTAGCATATTATGCTTTTATTATTATAGATTAGGACCAACAATTGTGGGGGTTGTTGGAGTTTTATTCACACTGAGATTTGATGTCATTGTACTCGATTTTGGCCAGCTGAGGGGAACTGGAGAGCTTTCCAACACTGTTGTGGAGGGACAGGTAGCACAGCCTAGCTCAGTGGTTCCCAAACTTATTTGGCCTACCGCCCCCTTTCCAGAAAAAATATTACTCAGTGCCCCCTGGAAATTAATTTTTTTTAAAACTTTAATAGCAATTAAACAGAAAGATATATGTATTAATGTTTCTACCATTTTCGTAAAATATAGTAAAGAAAGGTGTAAATTAGAAACATTGAAGTTTGAAATTATGAAACTATTTATTGAACTCAGAATAGAAAGGTAATACAAAAAAAGTTAAAACAAATGCACCTGTGGCCATCACCGCCCCCCTGGATCGCTGCAGCGCCCACCAGGGGCCGGTAGCGCCCACTTTGGGAATCACTGGCCTAGCTGGAAGACATGGGTGCTAACCACTAAACATTTTAATGTTTTCATCTTTGACTACAGATTCACCTCAAGGAATTTATCTTAACATAATTATGTAATTTTGTAGAGATATATGAACAAATATTGTTAATAATAGCTAACAATTTGAAATATTTTAACTGTCTTTCCAATGTGTTCTTTTTTGTTTCCATTTGAATTTTTTTTAAAATGAAATCTTTATTGTTCAGATTATTACAGTTTTTCCTCTTTTTTCCCCCCATAGTTCCCCTTTACCCGGTTCCCACTCCACCCTCTGCCCTTACGTGCCCCCCATCACTGTCCTCATCCATAGGTGTACGATTTTTGTCCAGTCTCTTCCCACACCCCCCACACCCCTTTCCCACCTGAGAATAGTCAGTCCACTCCCTTTCTATGCCCCTGATTCTATTATATTCACCAGTTTATTCTGTTCATCAGATTATTTATTCACTTGAGATTCAGATTCACTTGTTGATAGATATGTAATTGTTGTTCATAATTTGTATCTTTTTCTTCTTCCTCTTCTTAAAGAATGCCTTTCAGCATTTCATATAATACTGGTTTGATGGTGATGAACTCCTTTAGCTTTTTCTTATCTGTGAAGCTCTTTATCTGACCTTCACTTCTGAATGATAGCTTTGTTGGATAAAGTAATCTTGGTTGTAGGTTCTTGGTATTCATCACTTTGAATATTTCTTGCCACTCCCTTCTGGCCTGCAAAGTTTCTGT